CCCTGCTGGAATGGTCAGAGTTAGGTAACTATTGCACTGAACCTAATTTTTAAAGCATGAACTTTCCTGATGTTTGCCGCGACAACCAATTCTGCATTTAAGTTGTAATAGTATATTTCTAACCTAGGGAGGGAAAATAAAGGATCCTCAGCCGCCAGTGCAATTACCAGCCGAGCCGAAGGCGAGGTTGGTAAGCACGCGGCTGAGGGTCCTTTATTTTACTTCCCGTGGTTAGAACGCGATTTTCCGTCTCGGCGTAGGCGCAAAGTCAGAGTTCCCTCCCGCTTCGCGAAGCGGGAGGGAAATGTAACTTTGCGCCCGCCGGGACAGAAAAATCACTTTATGAATGAAAAAGTCATATGAAAAATCTGAAAAAATTCTCAAAGGTCACCGAGATTTGAAGGATGGATTCTACGAAACGATTTCGTTTTCTCCTCATTTTTTAATTTTTAATAAAACATCACATTTTTTTATTTTTAACATTTTTCACTTAATTTTGACATGGCATAACTTTTCAACTGTTGATCGCGGTTCCATGACTATTTAACCCAAAATAAATTCAACATGCTACAACTCAACACAAGTCCAGTTCAGGAAAAAAATCCAGTGTCGACACTGGAACTTTCATTGAGCAGCACGTGAATTTTTCATAGCCTGTGGATTGGGATTTCTTCCAGTACTAGCACTCAAATTTTTCTAAAAAATTTCTCTCCGTATTCCTGTCGTCGAAAATAAAAATCAATAAATCCTTTCTACAGGCACTCGAATTTGTTTTGATATTTATTCTGATTCAAATACAGGCAGGTCAATGACTCAGGTGTTTTCAAATTTACGTAGAATCCGAAATATGTGTCACTGCCCGATATGTATGGGTTGAATAAACAATGAGTTGAATAAACAATGAGTTGAATAAACTATATGTTGAATAGACTGTAATAAGACTGATGTGTTATGTTGAACTTGCATAGTGGCAATCAGTCCTGTCACCGCTGATTGCTGCTTCTTTTTCAGCCTATCCTGTATAATTTCGATCTTCTGAGTATTTCCCTCAAATTCAATTACCGAGAAAACACCGATTCAATTACCAATTATTTTCCGATACATCGTTTACAAACAAGTAAAAACCGCTTCATGCGTTGCTCAAATTTCAACAAATGACTTTTTTCTTTTAATGTAGATTGGCATATCAAGCGACATCCCTAGCGGATATCTCAGTATTTTTTTCAATTTTTCAATGAGACAAGTTCTAGCCCAATTATTATAAACAATACAAAAATTCTTACCGAGACAATTTCTTTTACATAAAAATTCCGGTGGATTGTTTCCACACCACGTGCGCTGATGAGCGATCCATAACTTTCGATTGCGAATATCTCAGAAGAAAAATCAAACAAGAAAAAAAACGAAAGATGAAACCTGTTAATTATATATTATTAGGGAATTTAATACGGTCGGCTACAAAATTTTCTACCATTCAACTTTCTGAAAGTAACTTTTTAACTAGAGAATTTATGCACAATTCGGGCATAAATATTTGAAATACAAAAAAAGTCAGTACTGAAAATATTCCTTGTTATATATTCAATATATTCAAGACAATAACGTTTGGTTTTCCGATTTTTTTCGGACCTTATTTTGCTACTACGATATTTGTAATCGAAAGGCATGGCTAGCCTACCGGCGTATTATATGGGACGTGCGTGAGACGAGACGGCTGTGTAGTGGAATTATTGGTTACTTTTCAATTAGAAATATGTCGGTAAGAAATTGAAACATTGAAAAATACCAAAAGACTAAATATGCTTAGAAAAAATGCGGCAAAATTTACATGTAAAAAAAATTTGTCTCGGTAAGAATTTTTGGAGTGTTTGTAACAACTGAGGAAAAATTTTCAACATCAAAAAATACTGAGGTACCCGCTAGGGATGTCAGATGATATGCCAAAATTCATTTACAAAAAATATCAATTTTCGTCACAAGGCTGAAAAAAACTTTTCTCAGGAGTGTGAGGATCACACGAGTCAAAATGATATATTTCGATACGAGTAAGACGGAATCTTCACGAGTGTGAAGTTGGCGGCCCGAGGCGAAGCCCGAGGACTGCCAATCACACGAGCTGAAAATTCCCGTCTCACACGTGTCGAACAATATTTTTTGACAATAATGTTACGTTTGGCGAGTGGCCGAGCTGTGCCTTTTTCGTTTACGAGTAAACGATTAGTATATTTCGGCACGTGTGGGGCAATTTCGTCTTTAACGTGTGTGGGGTTTACAGCATGAGCCGAAGGCGAGTGATGTAACCACACACGTTAAAGACGAAATTTCCCCACAAGTACTGAACAAAATTTTGTCACGAAGCCTGAAACCGACTGAATTAGTGTAATCCAGCCGGTTTCAGGCATGAGTGGCATAATAGTATATTTCAATACGAGTGCGAAAACGACGCTTCGCGTCTCGTGTCTAATTCAGCCGGTTTCAGGCTTCGTGACATAAAATTTTGTTCAGTACTTGTTGGGAAATTTCGTCCTTAACGTGTGTGGTTACATCACTCGCCTTCGGCTCATGCTGTAAACCCCACACACGTTAAAGACGAAATTGCCCC